AAGTATACTACTATGTCCCTATTTAGGTATTAATTTGTATATATTTTGTTACATGAATATCTGAACATACAAAACATCAAAAGAACAGTGTATCTGCTTGTAAACAAAAACATTTTATTCTAGCTTCATGCATTCTTTTTTTAAACACTTGAATGTGGATAAGTTTCATAAATAAAAATAAAGAAATAAACAACATTTTGAACAAAAAGCTGAAAAAAGACTATGAATTGGATTCAGAATGATAATCAAAACGTAGATAAAGTCGATCAACACCCCAAAGCTTGACAGTCATTATTACCTCTTTATTAGTCGACATTTTATTCCATAATGTTACATAGTTTTGATGCTGTTTTATGTCTGATGATCGTGTTAGAATACATGTGGAAGCATCTGTTGTTTCGGTTTCTTCTTCACTTGTGTTTTTTTGGAAATTCTGTACAGAAGATGTGTACTAGCGCCCCCTACCGTATAACAATAAAAACACGGATTCTCGGAGCACAAGTATAGCTCAAATATATTTAGACTTTTTCTAAGTATAAGTCAAGTATACTTAAATGCCATTTTAAGTATATTTCTGAGAAGTACATAAAGCCAATTTCTGAGAAGTACATAAAAAGTAGACAAAGTATACTTTCCTATTTTTTAGTTTAAAAGAAGTATACTAATAGCACACTTGAATAAACTTCTTTTTTGTAAGGGTAGCCACCCTGAAGGTGTTTGCTAGTTCTGGTTTATCTGGTTTCCAGGGTAACTCAACCTGATAACGTCCATCCTTAAAGGTTACTGTCTGGTTAAAATGTTGTACAGCTTCATGCATGTTGTGTCTGTTACACTAGACATGGGAATTGGTCCTTGTACAGCCCATCCGAAAATACTTTCCAGGGCTACAAGAGATTTGGTTAATCTCTCGACTTTTCCTGACACCACTTGCCAGTAATAGTCTGCTCCTATTAACACTGAAAGCTCAGAATCATTAGTGTCCTCCGAGAAAAAATCTGCAAGTTGCAGACACTTAGCTTCGAGCTTCTTTTGCACATGTTCTCCAGGGGCCTCGTTTATCAACAGTGCGTACGCACAGATGTGTGCGTAATGAGTGCGTAAGAACAGTTTCACGCAAAGTGTGGGATCTACCAACTTGTACTTATACGTAGAAATGTGTGTAAATATAAGCAACTTGTTCATATCTGTAGACACCCTATCTAGCTTGCGCTCACTGTTGTAAACGGAAGCAGTTCTGGGCGGATGACGTATGAGGTCGGCTTTACGCATGCGCCGTTCAGAAGTGACGCACGCGGAAGCGCAGGGGAGAGATCAAAACAAAACAATGGTCATGAATTAGAAGTACAAAACGAGGATTTGTAAAGAAGAATGTCGAATGGATTTCGATATAAGCCAAGAGGAGACTGGTTTTCCTTTGCTAAATTAAGGAAACTTTGCTTCCTTTGCTCCTGTTAACAAACGTTGGTTTTCACGAGACTCACCGGCACATGCACAACGCTGAACTCATACGTCATCCTCCCGGAGCTACTTCCGTGTGCAACTGCTGGCTCAAGCTAGATTAAAGTGATTATCACGTTTTGAATATGGATATTTTTCTCAGAATCATTAGGGTCCTCCGAGAAAAAATCTGCAAGTTGCAGACACTTAGCTTCGAGCTTCTTTTGCACATGTTCTCCAGGGGCCTCGTTTATCAACAGTGCGTACGCACAGATGTGTGCGTAATGAGTGCGTAAGAACAGTTTCACGCAAAGTGTGGGATCTACCAACTTGTACTTATACGTAGAAATGTGTGTAAATATAAGCGCACCTCTGAGCATGCTTACGCTGAGAATCTAGTGGTAGAATAGCGACACTACACATAAAAAGCATTTAAGAGTGTCACAGTATGCATTAAGCAATCCACATATGTCCTGTGTTTTCTTTAATTATAAAACACTCAATTTATCATTTGTCTGG